CGATGCCACAGAAATGCAGGAGGCATGGGTCGCAAGGCGCAGGACACGAGGGTACCCCTTGATCTGGCGGGGTCGATCTACTAATCCGGGCCGCCTGTACGAGATCTGGGGAGATATCATGGCCCCCGCCATGATACCTCCCCCCCCTAATCATCCCCCCCCCTCTTAGCCGCCTTCGATCCTGGGTCCACGAGTGGCCCGGCCGGGATCGGCGCTGATGGATACTAGGCGTTCCTGGACAGATGGGGCTTCCTCGGGTGCGAGGTCGCGCCAAGCCTCCTGGGGGCCTTTCCAGATCGGGAGTTGATAGACGCAACCCTGGCCTGAGGTGTCCCCACCTTTCAGGGCATTCTGAAGCCTCGGCCGGGGCCAAAGTGGGGCCGCCGAAGCCTCCCTGGCCAGTGAGCATCGCTTCGCCGATGCCTAACTCCCCACTGGCGTGGCCTGAGCCCCACTGGCCGACTTACCCTCCCTGGATGGGGATACAGGCGGCCCCCTTCGAGTCCCGAGGGGCATGTCCCAAACTGGGGCGGCGTATGGTGGGGCTGAGATACAACGGCACTTTAGGGACAGAGATCGGATAAACGATGCTGAACTCATACCACTTCTGCCAGCACCCGACCGCATGCCTCCCGTGGGTCTGCAGGGCCCCCCCCCATGGCCCACTCTCGACGACGCACGTCGAAATGCAGCTTGTTCCAATCGTACTTAGGGGCCACATCCCAAAAATCAGTTCGAGCATCCAAGACGCCTTGGCGGCCTCCAGCCGGCCCAAGAGCCCTGCAAGATGCCCGAAGGGGCATCCAGGCGCCGCCCAAATCGCACCAAGACGGCTCCAGGAGGAACATGCCTCCCGTGGGTCTGCAGGGCCCCCCCCCATGGCCCACTCTCGACGACGCACGTCGAAATGCAGCTTGTTCCAATCGTACTTAGGGGCCACATCCCAAAAATCAGTTCGAGCATCCAAGACGCCTTGGCGGCCTCCAGCCGGCCCAAGAGCCCTGCAAGATGCCCGAAGGGGCATCCAGGCGCCGCCCAAATCGCACCAAGACGGCTCCAGGAGGAACCCAAAACGGCCCAAGAGGGCCTCGAAACTGCCCAAAACGCATCCGAGACGGCCCAAGAGGCCCCCGAGACGGCTCCAAGAGGGTGCCCACACGAGGGACCCGTACGGGTATTTTGAGGCCTCGGCCCCGAGGAGCTCCCAGGAGGCCCCAAGAGGCCACTAAGAGACTCCAAGAGGCCACCAGGAGGCCCCAAGGAAGCCCCGAGAGGACTCCAAGAGGCTCCCAAGAGGCCCCAAGAGCGCTTCGAAGAGACCCCAAGATGCACCCATGAGGACTCTGACTCACGTTAGCGTCCGTTGTCGTCGTTCCCCTTAAGGGTCGGCGGCACCAGCCTTGAGGCCTTCGCAATCAGTTCGAGCATCCCAAGCAGTCTGTCCGACACGCTGGCGCGGTGCCGACCGAGCGTCGCCTCCCAAGGCCCCACGCGTGAGCACCGTCCAGTGCCAATACGTTCTTGGTGCTCGAAATTCTTCTTGGCGATCAAGGCTAAGGTAGGTTGGAGCACCAATTGAAATTTTCCCTCGATTCTCGCGGGGCGAACACATTAAAGGGGCCCCAGAACACACAAATAAATACACACAAATAAAATGATTCCCCATATTTTCCCATATTTTCTGGGTTTGTGTCGTCCCCCCACTTCCCATATTTTCTCATATTTTCCGGGGAGTGGACGATTAATTGTGCCTGTGTGTCTTTTTCCCCTCGATTCTCGCGGGGCGCACATACACCCTGCGAAATGCTTAAGAAATCATAGGTTAAAAAATTCATAGTCTCAGGAGTTGACCAAAAGCCCAGAGCTTCATTAAAATCATAGGATTTACCTTGAAACATGAAGAATGATCGAGACTCTGGCCGAAAACTTAAGTTTTCCTAAGCATCGCCCAGAGTGTATGGGCATCCGTGCCCTCGCGGCCTGGACTCCAAGGGCGCGATCCCGCGGATGCGCGGCCGCACGGGTCCGCTCCGCGCGCGGCACCCAGCCGAAAAAACACGCCGCGCACGCGCGGGGGCGGGGCCGCAGGGCCCTGGCCCGCGGGGCCGCGGATACGGACACGCTCGCCGCCCGCGATCGATGCACGCTCCTCCTCCTCCTCCTCCTCACTCCTCCTCCTCCACCACTCTCCTCCTCCTCCTCCTCCTCCTCCTCCTCCTCCCCTCCTCCTCCTCCTCCTCCCCCTCCTCCTCTTGCCATGCAATGCTCCCTCCTCGCCCTCATCGGTCGTCCTCGTCGGTCTTCGTGGGCCGGTCTCGGGCCGCCGGACACCGGCGCGGAGGGATCCAAGGGTGGATTTACGGCATTCGAGGCACCTCGTCCGGTGTCCCTCCCTCCCCCCCTTTCTGGTTCACAGATGGGGTCCTGAATGATGGGGGCCTCAAGACGAGGTGCCTCGAACAACGCAAACCCACCCCTTATAGGCGAAGAGAAAAGGCCATAAACATACTGGCACTCCACACGGATTTCTTGCATCTGCGCTGGACTCCTCCCTGGCGCGTGAAGCGCGCAGGGGCGGCGCCGGGCGGGGCCAAAGCGCGGATCCAAGGAATCCGAGGCGGAGCGCCCAAAATTCATGCTTGTGCCGTTTTTCTTCGTCGAGCACGCCCATCCTTGGAGCCCTTCCTATCCTCAGGCCCCCGTCCCTTCAAACCTTGGGGGGCGGACCTCTCTTGGGGTGCGTTCTGACCAGAATTTCGAGGCGAATCCAGCGGTGACAACGAGGATTCCCCAGGAGGACCAGGAAAGGCCGAAAACGAAGGGGGACAACACGTATCCGTATCTTTTTCTCCCCCGAAAACCCCATCCTTGAACCTCCGACCCCCCGGCCTGACCAGCCCTCGGTGGCCAGAAGCGCCACCAGGCCAGCGGGCGCCGGCCGGCATTGCGCTCGGCGTGGCCACACGGCCACGCCTGCGGCCGGCGTCGGCGGCCGCCGCTCCAGGCCCCTGGGGGCTCGAGCGCAGTGGATATTGGCGGCGCGCACAAGGGGGGAGGCCTTTTAGAGGGAGGCTGCTTCTTAGAAGACGCCAGCCCTACATCTACAGATAAGGCCCGCGCCTTCAAAGAAGCAGCGGTACTTCCAAGAAGCCTTCCCCCCTCCCCCTACCCCCCTCTGCGCGTGGCCGAGGATAGCATGAGCAGCGACCACCAGGGAGACTGGGCGCTGGGGCAGAGCGGCCGACCAACGGCTGGGGCGCACCGCAGCAGACAATCCTTTGCACGTCACAAGCGCACGTCTTGTGCACCACGGAGCCCGAGCACACCGCGCAAGGCCCGTGCACACCCAAGTCGCACGACGGGCCTGCGCACGCCACAAAGCCTGGGCGTGCATCGCCGCAGGCTCTGCACACGCGGATCAACATGGAAACCTGTATTCACACACGCGTGCGCACTCACACCTGCCTGCGCATGCCACAAGCCCTGCCTTGTACAAACTCTACCAGCCCTCTGGGCTTGGGTGGTTCAACGAACTTTGTCTGCTCTCTGCCAAAGCTCGCTCCTTCTCTGGAGCATGTGGCACACATGGCGCACGCGGAACACGTGGCACATCTGGCGTACCAGGCGTGCCTGGCACACTTGGGCCAACGGGGTGCCTGGCGTACCTGGCGCGCGTGGCGCGCCTGGCAGGCGTGGCGTACATCGCCCCAGCGTTGCGCACATGGGGTCTGTTTGGTTCCCAACAGCTGCCCATCCAAAGACGACCGCTGAACATGCTGCGGCTCGGGTGCTACGTATGTGTCAGGAGAGCGGGTGGGCGCGAGCGAGACGGCCGGCGGGCGGGGAGGGTGCCTTGATCCCGCCCCCTATCTCCTCCCCTGGGCCTGGGAGGGGGGGGGGCGCAGGTAATTAGAGCGCCCAAGATGGCCCAAGATGGCTCCAAGAGGGCCTCAGGGACCCCAAGATGGCCTCCAAGGTGGCTCAAGGTAGCTCGAGATGGCTCGAGGTAGCCTCCGACACATCTCCAAGATGCCCCAAGGCAGCTCTTAGATAGATCCAAGGATCCTTTGAGTTCCCCACGGACACCCCCGAGGGACCAAACTATTTCAAACACCTGAGGAGAACTAAGTGTGCGTTGCTTTCTCGCCTTTTCGCTTGCTGTGGGCATGTGAGGCATCAAGAAGGCCCCAGGGCGGCTCACAAGAGCCCCATGAGAGACCACGTGGGCGTCTAAGAGCGCCCCAACAGCTCACCAAGAGGGCTTCAATACGCACTTTCTGAGCCTCCGATGGGAGACCACCTGAATTGAGGACCCCCCTCTGTTCGAGCCATGGGGCCCAAGCGGCCTCCCAAACCCCTCCAATGAGCCCCAAGATGGCCCCCAAACCCCTAACATGAGCCCCAAGAGGCCCCCAAGAGTGTCACGAGAGGCCCCACGGGGACCCCAAGAGAGCCCCTGAGATGGCCTGACTCGTCCTTCAAGAACCTCTCGTAACAACATATCTCCAACGCCCGACTTCTCATCCTCCGTGTCATCGTTCGTTCCTTCCCTCCTCTTTTCGTGCCTCCTCCCTGCTCCTCTTCCTCCTCATCTCCCTTGTACCACATTCATCCTCCTCCTCCTCTTCCCCCTTCTCCTCCTTCTCTCGATGTCCTCCTCCTCATCCTTCTCTCCCTCCGCCTAATCCGATAGCCCTTATAACGGCGACGAGGCGACGATCGAAAGCAGTGCCCCGGCACTGCTTTGAACGCGTTCAAAGCAGTGCCCCGGCACTGCTTTGAACGTATGATATGATGATATGATGATGATTATGATTGATGATGATGATGATTTTTCCAGCGTACACTGTCCGCAACTGCGGCAATCAACATCATGCTCCACTTGCCCGCAACTGCGGCCATCACCAACGCTGCCCCTCGAAGCTCCGCGGAGGGCGCTCGGCAGGTCGCCCGCTCGAGCCCCACTCGACTTCACGCTGAGGAGGCGAGCCCTCAGGGGCATTGTCCGCAACTGCGGCATGATCAGAGGGCCACCACTGCGCGCCATCAGCGCCCCATTCGCTCGAGCTCCAGTCCCACCAGGACCAGCCCTGCCATCTCGTGGCGGGACTGCGCGCCTCCCATGCGCCGCTGCCGCTGGCGTCCCAGGACCCAGCCGCCACTGCGGCACAAGAAGGGGTCGCATCGTCGCCGTTGGCAGCTTGCGGCGGTGGCGTGTTCCCAGCTCGCTCAGCCCCAGCGTCTCTCCCCGCAACTGCGGTTCCCATCTGGGGTCGGACGCCCTTCCCCGCAACTGCGGTGTCCGCGTAGCTGCCCTTCTTGCCGCCCTTCTTGCCGCCCTTCCTGCCGCCCTTCCTGCGTTCCAACCTCGCGGCGAGTCTTTCAGGTGACCTGCGGCACGTATTGTGCGTGAAAGCCACCAGAGGGAAGTGCGCTCCGTGCCTCGCCCTGCCGAAGGCGCCATGCCATATCTTGTCGTCGAGGTTGCCCTGCTTCACTCTGAAGGGATGGCGCACCCAATCGTCGCGTTCCCTGCGCGCCATCCTTTGCTCGAACTCCGCAACTGCGGTCAAGGATTCGCCAGATGGCGTCAGGAAGGCGCGCATCTTGTTTTCAACGGGCTCAGCCTTGGGCACGTAAGTCTGAAGCATCTTCCCAGGGCCATTCGTGTAGTCGAAGACAGGGAAAGACGGATCATGCTGGGTCGTCAAGAATCCGCCCTCACGGTCGTGCAGAACACTCAGGCCATGGTGAAGCTTGTACTGCCCAGGACAGTTTATGAACAAAATCGCCATGCTGTCTGCCCTGGGCTGGCCGCCTGCTGTCTTCCAGGGGGTCCACGCGGCGACGTCCACAGTCAGGCCGCAATTGCGGCACCAGGACACAAGCTGGAACATGCACATGTTGAAGTCCCCCATGCAGACCTTCACGTCCCATTCCCTGACGTAGGCGACGAACCAGTTGTAGAACTCATGGAGCTTCGTGACGCCCCAGTCTTGGTTGGCCAAGCTGTGGTGGACGTGCACCGCCATGACGTTGAAGGAGCCCCCCAAATGGGGCACGGCCTGGTCCAGGTGGACGCGCACCACCATCGCCCTGGAGTACTTGTTGTGCAGCTTTGGCGCAGGAGCCTCCGCAACTGCGGACTGTTTCTTCTTCTTCTTCTTCGTTTTGGACTTCTCCTGCTTGTGGAAGAGTCTCGCAAAGTCTACGCGTTCAATGTGGCCGCCACTGCGGTCCCTCATGCCAACAAGGAGGGTCCCTGATGGCTCGCCGCCCTTAACGCACAGGTAGTTGTATTGAGTCCGACTCCGAAACCTATCGTCCGCAACTGCGGCTGCACTGTCCCTCGCGTCGTGCTCCCCACTGAGTACCGCGCAGGTCTCGTCGTCGCACTCGCAGAGGGCGATGATCTGGGCAGGGTTCGCGCGGAGCTGCGCCCACTCGTCCGCGCGTTGCGTGGGTCTAGCTGCAGTCCCTCCGAAGTTGGCCACGTAGAAGCCGACCCGTCCCGCTTCGAACTCCGTTTTCTCCTCCCATGCGTCGACAAGAGCTCTTTGTTTTTCCGACAGATTGCTTGTCTCGATGATGGGCACCCGTTTCCAGGTTCTCCGCGACGACAACACTCTCGGCATGTAGGAGTCATGTGCTGCCGCAACTGCGGCTCCCGCACCTCCCCGGGACTCAGCCTCGTCAGCGGAGGCAGCCGAGGACGCGACGGTGCTGTCGCCATCTTGCGTCCGCTGGTCGTCGTCATCATCCGCAACTGCGGCTTCCTCGTCTTTGCCTCCCTCCTCCTCCTCAGCGTTGTGGATGAACACCGTTCTGGCGAATCGAAGTCCACGGTCCATACTCCCTGAGGATGCGCTCGGGCGCGCGGGCGGCCACATGCTTGCGTCTTCGCGTGCGCCACCTCGAGCCACGGTGGCCACGGAAATGGATCGTGAATGGGCATGGGGTCGGATGGAGGGAGGAGACAAAGAGGATTCGAGGAGTGGCAGAAGGAGGGCGAGGACTCAAAGGAACCGAAAGAACAACAAATGGACTGGCGGAGAAGCAGAAGGAGGGCGACGATTGCAAGGGACTGTGAAAGGATTATTTTCACAGCAGCAGGAAGACCGCAACTGCGGTTTTGCCTCATCTCCTGCCCGCGCGGGAGCCGCTTGGAAAAACAACTTCCCTCTGGACTTCCTGTGGGTCCGCAACTGCGGCCTGCATCACGCTAGGGCTGGGATTACCAGCGCCATTTGCCCTCCCAGGGTTCTCACTGTTTCCGAATGCACGAACTGCGACAGCGCCGAACGGTTCCCAGACGCCGCGTCGTTCGCGACTTTTTGCAGCCACCCAGCAAACGTGAGCGGCCATTGCTCCTTGTGCTGCTTGCACATCTCCTCGTCCCAATGCGTCTTGAACCATGCCCACTCCCCCCTCTGCTCGTCTGAGAGGACGCCTTTTCCGCGAGCCAGGCGATCCAGAGCTGCCATCCTGTTTTTCTTGATCTTGAACTCCTCGGGATTCCACTGCGCTAGGGCGTGTTTGTTAGCCAAAGCCGTTTCCACCGCAACTGCGGCCTCCTTCTTTGCCCTCAAGGCGGCCTCGGCCTCTCGAATCTGCTTCTGAGATCGTGCAACGCCTTCGTCCTGTCGTTCGCTTCCAGAGCCAGGCGCCGCTTTTTCGCCACCACTGCGGCTTCGTGGTCTCGCTGGGCAGTCAACGCTCGTAGGACCTCGTTGTCCTCCCGCGCCAGCTCTCTCAACCGCTTCTTTTGTTTGTGTTGTTGCTGTCGGCAATCCTGCGCTAGTTTCTCCATGCCCACTTGGCGCAGCATATCTTCCGCCTCGCGGAGCGTTTCTGCCAAGGACGTCGCCACTGCCACCTGCTCGGCCGCCTCTGCGTCGACCACGCAGTCCATGGATACCGAGGATCCTTGAGGCCCAGGTGCCGCAACTGCGGCATCGCACTGTTCCGCAAGAGCCTCGGCCCACGAGGCCTCCTCTTG